ACAAAAGGCTATTTAGTGTCACTAGGGGTGTAGATGTAGCTCACCTTTAGCTCCATATGCACCCCTAACTCCAACCCAGACTAGTTTCTCTAATTCCCCCCTTCAGCAATCCGAACCATTAACACAGGGATCCAATATCTTAGGGAGTGCTTTTAATGCAGCTGCTGAGGCACTATCAGCCAATACCCGTATACTTTATACCTGCAGCCAATATTTACAGAAATTGACACTTGAGGTGTGATCCGATGGCAATATAGGATAGTTGATCGAACTGAAAAGCGTCGCTACTCTGGAAACAGTCCCCCTTAAAGCATCGTTTTTGTGCACTCCAGAATTGCTTCAGCCCAGATCCAAAAATGTTTTGCCCTGCCAGTGGTCTGAACATGCAGCAGGATCAGGCCGATTCCTGTACTTTCACTGAACCATGCCCCCAAACGATCCAAAGCACAAGCTGTAGCTCCAACTGATCACATCCTTACTCATCTCCTGAAGGAAGCTGCACTCAGGAAAGTGCAATTACTCCCCTTTCTCCCACAGGTGCAGTCAGTACTTCAGGTTGGACTACAGTGTCATTTCTGATTGGATCAGATGCAACAAATTGACTTTGGTTTAATCTGTGCCTCTGACCACACATCAGCACTGGCTAGACTGTGGCTCCTGACAATACCCAAAAGCCCACTTTATAGTCCTGGCCTGTGATCTTTTTGTCCAGACAAGACTCCATCAACAAAATTATACAGAGAATATTGACTGTTTTATTAGACAATTACACTCCTGGAATTGATGTCTATATTCTTTGGTGCATATTTGATCTTACCCTAAAGGGGGAATGAATAAAAGAATATGGCTTTATTAAAAAACACATACAGTCCACAAGAAATAGACTGCTGGCTGAAATCACAGAATTAGAGGACAAACTTAAAAAAAAAGACCATAAGAAACTATTATGAGACTTAAAGAAATTAACTCAAATCGTTAGACCTGAAAAAAATTGCCTCAACTACTCTCTGTTCACCACCCAACCCCCGAGTTTCAAGACCCTGCCAAAATTGTTCTAATTCCCAGCTTGATCCTTATGATTTTTGTTCCTACTATCCTATTGTTAGGGACGTGGTGGCGCTGTAGGGACGTGGTGGCACTGTGGGCTAAACCGCAGAAGCCTGTGCTGCAGAGTCAGAAGACCAGCAGTCGTAAGATCGAATCCACGCGATGGAGTGAGCTCCCGTCGCTTGTCCCAGCTCCCGCCAACCTAGCGGTTCGAAAGCATGCAAATGCAAGTAGATCAATAGGGACCACCTCGGTGGGAAGGTAACAGCGTCCCGTGTCTAAGTCGCACTGGCCATGTGACCACGGAAAGATTGTCTTCAGATAAAACGCTGGCTCTATGGCTTGGAAACGGGGATGAGCCCCGCCCCCTAGAGTAGAACACGACTGGACAAAAATTGTCAAGGGGAACCTTTATCTTTACCTTATCCTATTGCTATTATGGTAAGCATGGTAAGTCACAACTAGAGCAGGGCCATTTGAATCAATGGAACTTAAAAAGAGTGTGTCTCATCAGTTCCCCACTGATTCAGTGGGCCTGCTCTAATGTCAGCTAAACAAGAGGATTACTGCCAGAGTCACATTGGTTTACATGATATTAAAGATTACCACTTTAGCTTTATAAAACACAGGGAATTTTTGGACCCTTTATTATAATTATATGTTCAAATCCTCTGTTTCCTGACATGTCATGTCTCATTCTATATTTCTAAAGCTTTTGAAAAGCTTGAATTGCCTTACTTACTAAAAGTCTGTGAAGTGAGGGAGATGGGCAGATGTTTTCTTAAAACATTCTTCTGCCTTGATGCCCAAAACAAACAATATTATTTCCTTCCCACTGATAATTCTCAGGGCAACAAACATGATTGCCCCTTTTCCCTCTGTTGATACTTTTCTCTTATCAACAAGAAAAGGAATTTACTGAACCTCCTTGCAGATTATTCATCTTTAGTGGTATCCAACACACTAAAAAAATTCCTGAATTACAGTAATTTGGGCCAAATTTGACAGATTGCCTTGTTGTTGTTGTTTAGTCGTTAAATCGTGTCAGACTCTTCGTGACCCCATGGACCAGAGCATGCCAGGCCCTCCTGTCTTCCACTACCTCCCGGAGTTTGGTCAAATTCATGTTGGTAACTTTGATGACACTGTCCAACTCTCTCGTCCTCTGTCGTCCCCTTCTCCTCTTGCCTTCGCACTTTCCCAGCATCTGGGCCTTTTCCAGGGAGGCCTCTCTTCTCATGAGATGGCCAAAGTACTGGAGCCTCAGCTTCAAGATCTATCCTTCCTGTGAGCACTCAGGTTTGATTTTCTTCAAAATGGATAGGTTTGTTCTCTTTGCAGTGCAGGCGACTCTCAAGAGTCTCCTCCAGCACCACAATTCAAAAGCATCAATTCTTCAGCGGTCAGCTTCTTTCTGGTCCAGCTCTTGCTTCCATACATCGCTACTGGAAAACCCATAGCTTTGACTTTACAGACCTTTGTCTGTAAGGTGATGTCCCTGCTTTTTAAGATGCTATCTAGGTTTGTCATCACTTTCCTTCCAAGAGGCAGGCATCTTTTAATTTTGTGGCTGCTGTCACCATCTGCAGTGATCATGGAGCCCAAGAAAGTAAAATCTGTCACTGCCTCCGTATCCTCCCCTTTTGTTTGCCAGGAGACCGGTGGCCATGATCTTAGTTTTTTTGATATTGACCTTCAGACCATTTTTTTTGCGCTCTCCTCTTTCACCCTCATTGAGAGGTTCTTTCATTCCTCCTCACTTTCTCACTTTCTGCCCTCAGAAGATTGCCTAGTATTTGGCCCTAAATATGTCCCATGTTGCCAAAGACCAGTTAACCGGTTGAGGTGACATCCTGATTATCTTGTCCTCTTTAAAGTACTCTCGTGCTGTTTCCCTACTCAACTGTAGGAAGTCATCTCTTCCAACCTTACATCTCTTTTAAGGCATGTCAGGCAATTATAATCAATCTGGAAAAACCCAAAGTTCTCTTGGCTAGGAAGAAATGCTGCTGTTAAAATGGTCATCTCATCTACATTTTCCTATTTATTTTCACTGTCCCAGGCACCATAAAAGAACTGTACCTCTCATACTGGCAAACATTATTTTTTAAAAAAACAATAAATCAAGGAAAGTAGACAGCCTTGCAATCTGTAACCTAAAATGTTATTACAGCATTTTATTACGATGTTACATCTTTTAGATAGTGAAGTTGTACAATACTCATGTGGATGCTTGATCCCCTGTTAAAATCAGCAGTAAATAGGTAAGGTAAGGGTAAGATACGACTCTGTTTTACATCCAGCACAACTTCAAACATTACATCTATAAGTAATTATAGATAAGGAATTCCTTCTGTATCTGGAAAGTTCTGGTAAAAGAAATGTATTCCTTCCCCTTCTCCCCCAATTCCATTTTTGTGTCATCCTTGGTTGATAATAGTGAATTCACCCATTTTAAAATCTAAGGGTATTTATCATTTGCAAGGCCATTATATGGGGATCTCTCCCAAATCAGAGTGGCAAATTCACTTGCACTTTGAATAGGAGGTAATCCTTTCCTAGTTCCTATTCATCAGGTAATCTATTTTGTCTCTTAGCTCCTTGTACTGTATGAGCTCATCCACTTGTCAAAGCAGGCTTACTGCCTTTGAAATTTTGATTCTTCAGTCTAAGGGAGCCTCCTGTGGGGTTACTTGTAAATGTAATGTTTTGATGCTTGACCTTATGTATGACAAAGTTTCAGATGCAAAAAGTGTGCAGGGAAAATGTTTATAGCATTACTGATGGCCTACGAAACTCTCTAGGAACAAAACCTCCAGTGAAAACAGTTTTTTCCTACTGCTCTTGACTGTAACACTAAAATGACATACTGCTAGTATTTAACCTTTTTTAAAATTAGCTGCATAAATAGAGATTTGAGTACAAGATGTCGGAGCAGACGTGGGGCGTTCAGCCCTTGTCTTCACACCTGGTGGTCCTGTCCAGGAGTCTGTCACCCTCTTCATCAGGTGCATATGAGATGCATCTGAAGAAGGGCTCTTCAGTTAACAAAAGCTTATGTTCAATGAAACTAGTTACTCCTTAAGAGGCCACAAAACTACTATATTGACTTTTTGCAGCAGACTAATAGAGCTCTCCCCACCTCCACAAAACTGTATTTAGAAAAGATATGGGAATAGGGTAGCCCAATATCAAGGAAAGCCAGCTTTAAATCAGAGTGATCTTGGAACAAATATCCCTCAGCCTGACCTCTCTCAGATAAAATGGAAGATGGGAAAAGAACTATGACAGTCATTGGATAAATGGCAGGATAAACGTAGAAGTGAAGAACTTATTATTACTTGCCTGACTACAAATTTGTAAAGTGTACTGTGGAATTGTGTCATGCATGACTGTGTTGATTTCTGGTTGTGGTGTGAAAAAACCTTCAATACTGGGACTTAATTAGCTCAGCTGAAAAGAAAAAAGAAAGAAAAGCAGGCAGGGAATCAGCAATCCTGAAACTGCATCCAATTTATTGTTGTACTGAGGTCCTTAACACTCATTTGTTCGTGTTGAATTATAAAATACTGTAAACCAGTGCTTGGTTTGCCTCATGAGTAGAATCAAATGAGATTGCCTTTTCAGCTTCCAGCTGTGTTGACTTGTTTTTTCCCTTTCTGGATGAGTCATTTATTTTATGATAGTGGTGATTCAATACAGCCTCTGCTGTGTATCACCTTTTCAATACATCTCCTAGAAGAGATGATTTGCAAATGATGTTTGCTTTCTTGTTTACTTTTCCACCTAAATAAGACCTTTCCCTGCCGTCTTAGCAAAGTATAACTTGACAGACGACTACCTCTTCCTCGGACTTTGACCTTGATAAACCTACGTCCAACACAGATAGCATTGATTTAAATTTGCGTAATCCAAACAGCTAACTCTGCATGTTTTGTTTGACCCCTGTGCAGAAAGAAAAAAAAAGTGGACTGCTGAAACTTCTCGCTGGAGCATCAACAAAAAAGAAATCCCGATCTCCTCCATCAATGTCTCCAACCCATGACCCCTTGGTGGTGGTGGAGGGAATGCTACAGGGTGCTGTGGGACCTGAACTGTCCTCTCTGTCTAGCCATGGAAGGGCTGGCTCATGCCCGATAGAAAGTGAAATGCAAGGAGCAATGGAAATGGAACCTCTGCACAGAAAGACAGGCTCCTTGGATTTGAATTTTTCCATCCCTTCTCCCATAAGGCAGCTGCCCCCTTCTATGGCAGCCATTCGCCCAGAACCTAAGCCATTGTCTCGAGAAAGGTACGAAGACAAACATGCTGCACCAAAGAAAGTATTCCTAGCTTGTGCGTTTCTATTTGCATGTGTTTTTATGTAATGTCAGCCTGTGTTTCATTTTCTCTTCTTGTTTTTGTAAAGAAATGCTTCCATTTCAATACAACTACCGCTTCATTGGAAAGATTAGTTTCCTCTCTGTAAAATCTTACCAACTCAGAAAAATGTCCCACTGAATTCAGTGTGACCTATTTTCAGATAAATGTGAGTAGGATCACAGACTTTGTCATCTGTCCTGCGGGAATATCTCCTGTCTTGCTTGCTCTCTCAGTCTCTGACTCACCACATCCTTAGATATTTTTCTGGGTGCTGGAGATTCTCGACCTGTCGTTAAAATCTCTTTTTTCTTTTTCGACCAGCTTTTAGCACTGAAAAACAGTGAACACTGACAGTCAGTCACAAACATATGACCACAGCATCACAGGGCTATGACCACTGAATCTTTTACTTAGTTATTTCTGTGAAGAAGTGCTGGCAGGGAGGGACAGCTTAACTTTGAAAGACTTGAGGTTGGGAAGGAGGTTCTGAGTTTACGAAAGTGAGGAAAATCCACTTAGTGCCTCAGTAAGGGCTCTCTCATCTATTCCTACTTCACGTAATCCAGGTTAAAGCCCTGGCACGAAACTGGATGCTTAAGTGCAGCCCTGCATTAATTAAGATCCCTCTTCATTCAAAATCCCCTCTTTCACCCTCATTGATTTCTGGCACATATGCCAGATTTCTGGCACGTATGCCTACGTGTTGCTGTTGACTGACAGACATCCCGGTGTAGCCATGTGCTTATTTAGCACTCACTACGGCCACTGTTCCCTCAGTATTCTTCCAAGGCCGAGTATTATTATTTTTTTCTCCATAAGACTCTCCTCCCTTCCAACTTCAACAACAAGCCAAGGGGAAATTTTCTCCCAAGCTAACAGCAGCTTCAAAGGAGCTGTTTTCATCAGAACCACAATAGGGACAGGAAAGGATCAAATGCCCTCTTCCTCTCTTGACATGATTTCAATAATTATCCTGTTTAATCCTGGGTATGTTTAGTGCAACCTCACAGTAGTGTGGCCTTCAGAGATTGTAACAATCTGTAGAACTGATGTTTGAATTGAATTGTCTGAGGAGGATGGCGGGGGAGGGGGAATCCTGTCTCACACCAGCCAAGGTTCAGAAAGTTCCTCCCCTCAGGCTCCCCCACACACACCTTACAGTGAACATGTGGGTGTTTGAAAGGGAGGACAAAGAAAACAATTTTTGATTACTTGCTTACAGGCCTGTTCGCTGTAGCTTCTCCCAAGATAGGTTAACAAAAGCAATGGACCTAAAAGGAGAAAAGCCTTACCTGCTGTCACTCTGATGGCTGTATTGCTACCAGAAAAAGAGAAGACTCATTTTAATGCTAATTATTATTTTGCTCTAGCCAGAGTAAGGGTGCCATTCCCCCCCCTCCGTCATGCTACCTACCTGAAAAGGGAGATCACAAAAGGATTGTGAAAATACAAGATAGATCAGAACACCTTTCTGTGTGCTTGGTATCCAGTATTGGCAATGGATCACAAGGTTTATACAAATGGATCCCTAAAACACTACAGGTCGTATTATTCATGCCACATAACTTGCTGCTAAGATTTTGATTCTGATTTTTAAGCATTTTTATTTTCACAATCTTAAATTTGGGAATAACCTTTAATTAAAATAATCTTAATTATGCTCAGTAGGCATGGGATGTCTAATTGATTTATGCATGAACTTCCATACCATATCACCAGTTTTTCTGTGTTCTCTAATAGATCATATGGTTCTTTATGCCCATAAAGCAGAACTATTAATTACCTTTCTGCACAAGAAAGGATAATGCCTGTTCCTTGAATCATCTGAGTGGTTGCATTACACACTTGTCTGGAAGTCCATTCCATATCCATTTGTGCTCATTAAATCTCCAAAGTGCTAAGATGCACCATTTTTTAAAATTACATATACTTGCATTTCATATCTGGTAGAACAGGAATGTCTCTGAATGCCACACACAACTGCACACCTGCATGTATGCACAGTAGATATAAGCCAGCAAGCTGTTGGTGCTCTATGTACCTGATGTGTGTCCAGCCCACACCCCATGTACCCAAATATTCCTCATTTAGAGCCTTCATATTTTAGTCATAGATGTGGTAACTAAGTCTCAAACTATATATGTGGCAGCATACCTATGTCTTTAAACATAGGTTTGTCCCAGCCGGGGTAAACCAGGATATGAAAACCACCTGAAACTGTCAAAGGGATGTACAGTGGTGCCTCGCTTAACGATGAGAATTGGTTCCCAAAAAATCGCTGTTAAGTGATTTCATCGCTAAGCAAAACACAGTTTCCCATAGAAATGCATTAAAACCGGATAATCCATTCCAATGGGAACGGATTGCCATCCTTAAGCGAAAATCGCCATAGGAAACATCGCTAAGCTAAACACAGTTCCCCAACTGAAATGCATTGAAACCTATTCAATGCATCTCAATGGGGGAAAAATTAGAACAAATTTAAAAAGAGTCAGAACAAAATCTAATTAGTTTAACAAAGGGTTTATTAAGTGCACTTATGATTTCAAGCATTCTAAAGATTTTTAAACATTTGTAAACATTGAAAAATAGCCAACATGAGGCTGTCAAAACCATCATTAAGCGAAACAGGGGGACCCAAACTGTCATCGCTATGCGAAGCATGGTCCCAAACATTGCTATGTGAAAATCGCCCATAGGAACCATCGTTAAACGGAGTGCAAGATCGCTCTGAAAAAGTCATCGCTAAGCGATTTCATCGTTAAATGAAGCAGTCGCTAAGCGAGGCACCACTGTACAGGCAGCATAAGCTAAACATTTTTCCTAATATTCTTAGTCCCACTGCCCAAAGCCCAGCTGGGAGGGAAGCGTCAGAGAAGTGGGGTGAGTGGACAATGAGTTATACAGGAAGAAGTCACCAGCTGGCTGGCTAACTCAATGGATTAGATATCTGACTGCAGACCCAGAGGCTGGGAGTTCAATTCCCCACTGTGTGCCCCAGGAAAAGAGCCAGCCTCTGTGGCCTTGGGCAAGCTGCACAGCCCCAGGGCACGCCCCTCCCCAGAAGAAGGGGATGGCAATCCACTTCAAGGGAGGATCCCATAAAATCAAGGTTTTAAAGCTTCCACTGCCATCTATAATTTGGACCTCAGTAAAGAAGGGTGAATTTCCCAAAGTTCTTCTCAGATTTATTCAGAATTTACACAAATTCTGCCCCCCTTCTTCAGCCCCAGTTGGGGAAAACCCCATCTGTCATGGTTCCAAGCCAGCCTTCAGATTGGGCGAGGAAACCTGTATCCTTGTTCTCAAAAGTTTTAATGCAAGGTTGGGCAGAGTGGGGCCCTACAGATGTTGTTCAGACTGCATCCCTAATATTTCTCCTCCTTGGCTATGCTGGCTAAGGAGGATGGGAGGTGTTCTCCAACGGGATCATAGTCCACCAAAATCATTAATTTTAGTTGGGATGGGAAGGAATGCTTCAAGAATGACATTAACAGAGATAAGCAGCCAGCCCTTACCCAACCCTCCTGGTGGCCTTGGTTTGCCCAAAAACATTTCTTACTCCATAAGGACTACAGGAGCATTTATTCTTACATGTATCAGATGGGATGGGGAAGGGAACGGATCAATAAACCTTGAAAAAGTACAGTGAAGTGGACCTCCGTCCTTCCCTCTACCTATTTTATTACCATAGTTATTTTTTCCTTAGCCCTTGCAGACTGTTGGCATTGTTCTCTACATTCACTGGAGGTGGGAGTGAGGAGTTAACATTTCAGGTGCAAAATCGGGAGTGGCAGAGAACACTTGACAGCACCCAGTGATGCTCAGAAGGCATCAAGGCCGCCCTCTCTTACTGCCAGTATCATTACTCCTTTGTAGTTTCCTATGCCCTTGCAGACTCATGGGCCAAAGCCAGTCCATGGCCTTTCATAGGGGAAGAGAAACTGCTCCTGGACGTCTTTCCTTTCCTTTCCTGAGGGCTTGGACATTAAGCACTCAGGAAAGGAATGTCAGGGCCTGGAAGGCTTGAGTCTGTTTTGGACTCGCGTCTTTCAAACTCCCTGGCTTCAAATCCAAACCAGATGTAGGCAAACCTTCATGCCAACCATGGCTCCCTCCGTCAAAGCAAAGTTAACTCCCCATTCGCTGCAAGAAGGACGTGAAATCATTAGTTAAATGGCATGCACTTGTAAGATCTCCAAAGTCCCAAAATCTTTCCTTTCTGTCATCTTTGTTGAATGTGGGGCAAATTCTAACCAGCAAAATAACTTTAATAGATCAAAAGCCACACTGATTAATTGATTACAGCTTGCCGGGCGAATTCAGAGTCTCCTGTGCTTTCTGTATTCTGTAGAAGGTGCCGCATATGAAACTAAGCAGTGGGGCAGTGTTTGTCCAATTTCCTTCTTGTTAGCACAATCTTTGCAGCATTTATTTCCCTTACATTACCCTAAAACTTTGTTCCAGTGCAACTTGCCAGAATGCATAATCTTTTGCAATCAGAACCATGTTCAACTACCATAAGAGCTGTCAAGGCTTGTTTGGGACATGCTCGCTGGTGTAAAGGCTGTTTTGCACTGGACTGCCCCTTGATGCTACGTCTGACTCGGCACTGAAACGAAATACATAGACAGATGTCCTTTTAGAAGCTTTGCCCTTTGTACACTGGATGGAAGAACCATTCCTCCTGGGGAAAAGTGTTTAGGGGTTGTTCTGATTCTCTGTCTTTGTAAAAGCTTGTGAAGTACCAGCACCAAGGAGGGGTTTTTTTGGGGAGGGGCGGTGTTCCACTCCATTGCATATATCTTTGAAGACTTCAGAGGAATGTGAGAAGTTTGCTTTTTCTCACCACAACATATGTTCCAATCAGTGGTACTCTATCATAAAAGTTTCATTCATCTTAAGCTGTTGTAAGATTTGAAACTGGCATTCTTTTAGCTAAAATTGTGCTAATCTAATAATGTAATTTAGTCAGCACTGAAGCAGCACGTCTAAAATAATGTGAACCTTCATTTGCATAATGGCTGAAATTGGCCATGCTTCCTGAGGTGTGCAGATCCACCAATGACAGTGTGACAGATTCCCCCCCCCCCATTGCCAGCCAAGCAGCTCACATTTCAGCCTCTATTGCTTGGCTTTGCACGTGTGGAAAAAGTAACCACCACATTTACTGGTGAACTGAAAAGATGACCAACTGCTTTTGAATGGCTGGTATGTGCATTTTACATCACTGGGTTATCATGTAAACATTTTCCCCCCAAGAATTTTGGGGCACATCTGCAAAACCGAGCACGTTTATAAAGGGTTGCATTGCTCAGCTAGATTGCATCGAGCTGTCCTTTAATTTAGGAAATTCCTCCTCTTGTTGCAATGTGGGAGCTAAGTTGTTCAAGGACATGATGGGTCACCAGACAAGAGAATGCTGTGAGGCATTTGTGAAATAGAAGTACAGTATAAGCCAGTGAATTTTTAAAATTTCCTTCTTGACTGAAATGTAGGGTATAAACATGCTGAAATAGCACAATAGTATGTACAAGCGTCAACGCTGGCAAGGGAAGTTTCCACATCACGTTCCCAATGTGAGTGGCCACTCGTTCCAGCCGTTAAGGCTTCCGTGTGGGTCTCCATCCATCCCAAAGGCTCAGTCAAGGGGCAGCGAGGGCAACATTTTTCGCCGTAACCCTAAGGCATTTCTTTTCCTTTCTTTAAAGGTATCGTGTTGTGGTCCCGTATCCCCCCCAGAGCGAAGCCGAGATTGAACTGAAAGAAGGTGACATTGTTTTTGTCCACAAGAAAAGGGAGGACGGTTGGTACAAAGGGACATTGCAGAGGAACGGCAGGTCGGGCCTTTTCCCCGGAAGCTTTGTGGAGAGCTTTTGAGGGCTTGCGCTCTGGACTCAAAGGACTTCTTGGAGGAAATTTCATAGCACAAGAAAAAAAAAGCCACAGCAAAGGGAATCTTTCCTAATAATCCACTGCCATAATAAGAAATGTAATTATTATTTCCAAAGACTTTCTGGGCTCTTTGATATTTAGCCCTGGAGACAAGATCTCTTGCTGTGCACGTACAGTCCAGACACCGGTATGTTGGAGCAGTGCCTTCTTCTTGGAATCAAAGACTTGAGAGGACACGTGTTCGGGTTGCGTCTAAGCTCAAATCCATCCACTATACTTTGTATAAACGACAGAGAAAATGTTTTTAAAAAAACTAAGAAACTTGTTATATTGCTGTAATTTATTTGTCTAACTGCAGTGTTCTTATTACTGGCCTATGCAAGAGGGATTTGAGTTTCAAGAGGCAAACAAGGAGACTCTTGAACAATTAATGGGTTTATTTCCCCAGGTGAGAGTAAGGATGCATATGGAGGAAAGACAACCCAATTAAATCCACACATTATTCAGCAAGACACAATTAGGAGCCAAAAGCGTTGCTGGTCTTTCTTTGCAAAGATATCTCGAAATATATTCTGCTTACAAATTACCAGTATAGAGTTCTTCATTGACTATGCTGTCCAGCAAAGATGCCCGAGGGCAACGGCTCCCAACCTTGTTGGAGTCAGTTATGTTCAACTGCTGTCTTTGCATAGGATTCGGCTTGCAGCATGAGAACTGTGCATTCCAAGTGCTTTGCAACTCATTCTGAAAGCCATGTCCAGTGTGCAGCACAAGGTCACATAACCAGCTCAGGTCAACAAAACCTACAGGCTTTTCTCTGTGGCCACCACATCTCCAGTAGTTACATTAATAAGCCCATGGTGCATGGGAGATTTCCCATGACGAGCCACTTGTGCCAGATTAATGCCCAGCAGCTATATGAATTTTAGCTAACTAAGGACTAAGAAGTCCTTTTTGCCCGTCTTCCTCCAGCATATTTAATTTTGATTGTTGCGCTGTATCAGTATAGTACAGAAGTGCTTTTTCTTGTACAATATGCTTCTTTAAGCATGTTATACATTATGTATTCCATACAGGCAAGCAAATTCCTACTTTGCAAGCATATGGTACTACTTTTCATTTTAAAAAGCAGTTAAGAAATAACATGGTTTAGCATACTAAACTGTTAATGTGTATTAAATCATAAACATTCAAAAGATCGTCTGTTGCCATGCGGCTTACGACATTGAAACTAACTTTGGGATAGGATCTAAACAGGGCCGGAAATAGGAGAAACCCGCCACTTTTTCAGATTAGACAGACACACAAGACTTTGCACAGGTTGTGCATGTGTTTAGCCTCTTGACCTTCATGCATGTTGGTCACAATAAAGAAACAGTCTCCTCTGTCTGTAGAACAGAATCTTGGGATTTTGTTCAGCAACTCCTCTAGGCTACGCCAGTCCCCAAAAGAATGAGATATTAAATAGATCATGTTTGAGCTGGATCCAAGGAAGTATGAGGAGAAGGAAAATACCTACCAGCAGTATTCAGCAAATGTGTAGAGTAGGGACTTGCCATTCTTACATTTTATTCCCTTTACTTCATGTAGTGAGATGTAAAACAGCTCATGTTCTGAGTGTGGAAGGGTATTTTTGGATTCAGCCCATTATTGTTTGCTGAATGAACTTCTGATGCTAATATATTTCTTTGCCAACTCTCATATTAAGAAAAAAATCTGTATGTATTTTGTATCACCTATTGCAGCTAAAGTGAGATTCCTGAAGATCAAAACCTTTTATTGTATTCGCGAGGGCTTTCACGGCAGGGATCTAATGGTTATGGTGGGTTTTTCGGGCTCTTTGGCCGTGTTCTGAAGGTTGTTCTTCCTAACGTTTCGCCAGTCTCTGTGGCCAGCATCTTCAGAGGACAGCACTCTGTCCGGCCACAGAGACTGGCGAAACGTTAGGAAGAACAACCTTCAGAACACGGCCAAAGAGCCCGAAAAACCCACAACAACCTAAAACCTTTTATTCCTTGGTAAATGGAACTAGATGGGGAAGATATATTATGGGATGTTGCTAAATATGATGGCCTGTCCTTCCCACACAAATACGTTGTGTCAGAAGGCTCTTCAAGGCACAAGACTCTGTCTAGACAATGATAATTACTGGAGATTTGGGAGCTTTTCCAGAAGGATTTGTTTTAATTGACTTCTACATGGCAATAAAAAGAACACTGCAGATTCCTGCAAGCACAGAACATTAGAATTTTTTATCTCTTTGTCTTAATATCAGAGAGAGGATGGCCGTAATCACCACTATCAACATGTGATTTGTTACTGTAGAAATGTATAGTTTGAACACTGTTTGGTTTTCTAACCTGGGTCAAGATACATAATAAAATATTTCAGGCAATAGAAGCTTCCAGCTACCACAAACTCAAAAGGTGCAATAAATATGAAGTGAGAAAATAAACCTGTAATAAGTCAGATGGTGACATCTGTTATCATTTTTTATGGAGAATATTTTTAGCCATATGTGCACTTGGCCTCATTCCAGCAGTGTGTACTAAAGACTTCACCCCAGATTTTAAATGTATGACTTTGTCCTGCACGAGGTTATTCTTCTGCTGTTGTGAAACATTCAGATCACTGCTCCTTCGAAAGGAAGAGTGATTTTTAAATGCTATCAGATTACTGTTCCAAGCAAGTACATAATGGATAATTACATCACCTTTGTGGGTAGGCGTTTCTGCCCAAAGTTTAGAACTAAGCTATTGACTCTATTTTGCGAAGCAGCCAATACCTAGAACACTTAGAATGGGAATGATGTGTAGATAATCTATACAGTTGTTTTGCAGAAGTTAAGAAACAGATGCAAGAATGCAAATCATACTGAAATACCTAGGAGTCTCTGTGACACAGCACTGTGTGCACAAGAGTTAAAATGTGGCTTTTGATAATGCTTTTGCTGTCATGCATGAGTTCTTTCCTTTGCGTGGCCAGTCACTCTCTTGTTCCATGTATGGGAGGAGGATCTAGCCAGAGCTGCAGTCAGAGCATTCTAGCGCTTTAGCTTGGATGGTGCCATTCATTCCTGTCTTCCTAAAAGAGGAAGTCGCAGCCCAAGTTATATGCATGCCCTTACGTTCAGCTGTCATTCACTTCCACCAAGCCCTGCCTCTTTTATTATAACAGATTACTATCCCAGTATCTGGCTTTCATATCTTCCCAAAGGGATAGGAGGGATTTAAAGAGTGATCCTACCAGGTGCCCTCTGCAATGCTAGAACAAGCCGTTTTTTAGTTACCTGCCTGGAAGCACAGGTTTGGGACATCACTTTCTAGACACAGAACAAATACAGCATTGCTACTTTCAGTCTTTCTCCCCGTTCATCCATTAATCTGCCTGATCCAGCCATAGCTAAAGCACTTTTGATTTTGAGTGGAAGATGTTCAATGGTGTGCTCCATTTTTTCTTCAAACCTAAAAATACCTTAGGGATAAGCTACATGTTACACACCAGTGCCTGCAAGTAAGAGAGCCATAGCTTTGGGGGCAGGGAGAGAACAAAACTGCATTAGGAGTGAAATTTAAAATGGAATTTTACGGGGAGACACAAGAGGAGGCAGGCCAGCATCTCACACGCTTGCATGAGTCTGGGACCACCTTAGAAAAAAGAGCTTCCTGGGGGAGTGTGATCTGGAAGGGAGAAGTAGGAGAGAACGGAAGACGTGAGACCTTCCTCCCCAACATCTCCTTGCTTTCGATCTTTCTCCTGAACCTTTGCCTTTTATTTTCATGCACAGAGGCACTTTCATATATCTTTGCGTGACACTATATATTTCCCCTCTGCAGATGCTTCCAGTGCCAGTTTCTGCACCTAAAGGGGCTTCAGGCCTTTATTTCCTGGATTACTCCTTCCTGCTGCCACCACACACAAACATATGCATGTCCTATGGTAAAACACTTCTGAAGCTGAGCAGAATGTCAAATGCAGGATATGCTGTGGCACAAGGTGGGTTGCTACTATTCAAAATTGTAACAGGACAGATGCTAGCACAAAAACACCAGCCCTTGCGTACACCTAAGGTAACTCCTCCTTTGCAACAGCCAGAGGACAACATTTAATCTCAAACTGGTTTCTTGGCTACACTCAAAATGTATAACAGCAAAGATTCTTGGTTGTTACGGAGTCTGCTTAGCCAGCCATTTAAAGCGACCACACAATAGCACAAACATGGTAGCAAGTGATATTGCTGAAAGCTCTTGTGAATCTTGATATACACATTTTAATCCATGAACTTCTCTAGAATATACACAAAACGCATGAGCCAATAGTTTACAAATACCTGTTCCAAACTCAGTATTTTAAAGGGTATCAGGATGCTCTCTCTGCCCTCTCTGCCACTAGATGCCATCAGTCACTCTTCATTTGAGGATAAAGGGTTTCTTTGACTGTTCAGTGTGCTCTGAACACATTTGTTGTTAGTTCCTAGTTCTCATTCATCTTGTAGCTCAGAAGAGTTTCCTGTGGTTTATCAGCCCCATGTAAATAGCACAAAGGAAGGAAGGAAGGCTAAGTCAAAAACTCCAGACAGTGACCTCTGTGTCGCATAGGATGGTGTGGAAAGGAATTAATTCTGACAGTGGTCTATTGATAAATGGCATTCAAAAGAGAAAAAGCACAGGGAAGGAGTGTGTGTGGCCGTGTATGTGCATTTCTTATGACAAAAAAAAATGGTGAGCAAATTTATCCTGGCAGCCTTGTTTTGTAAAATGCCAGATTTATTGTACTGGAAAAGGTTTCTGCTAACTGAACAAACCCTTTGTACTTTGCACAGTTAAGGGGGGGGAAAGGTTTTTGTTACACATGGATGTTAACGTATAATTTAGAAAATGTCAATGGTTATTATGAGTACAAATGAACTGCAGTGACTGTGTTTTCTCATTCTTTCAATAAAATAACCATTAATGTAACCAATGTGGAGGTGCTTTCTTTAATTTGACTTGAGAGCAACAGCCAAACAGTGGTTTTATGCTATCGGACCAGGATCCCTTTTGTTGCT